TGATCCAGTGAACTAACCAGAATTAGGAAGGATATGAGAAAAAGAACTCAGAACAGAAAAGCGAGGGAATGATAGTATGAAGAGTGACCTCTGCAAGAGAGTCTAGAAAGAGGAAAAAGAGATTTTCAAGGAAAAGTGAGATTTTTTTTTCCCCGTTCCTTTTTCTATTTAAAGTTCATGAAAATTTGGAAAATAAGCCGAAGAGGCTTTAGGCTTCTAGTAAATACTAAATAAATAGGATCAACATGTGAGAAAGAGGACGAATACTATTTTTTGCAAGACCACTATTATTATTATTATTATTATTATTATTATTATTATTTTCTAAAAGAGAGTTATTTAAGAGAATTCAATCAATTTAATAATGAAATTTGAAGCATAATCTATTCTATTTATGACTTATAATTAATATCAATTTTATATTTTATGTTAATTAATTAAAATAATAATGAAATTTACTTTCATTTTAATTTTTCGAGTCCAACTAAATAAGAGCTAGTACATAAATCAAACTCATTGAAAATAAATTAAAAATTGTACATCTTGTTTTTACCAACCAAGAATACATTAAATATAATTGTATATATATTTTTTTACCAGAAAATATAATTGTACATATTAAAAAATACGATGTCACACCCCAAAAATTAGACGTGACCGGCATAGGATATATGCACAAACATACATCCCTTAAACCTTAATTAAGCAAACTTTAATATAATATTTTAATTTATTTAAAATGGGATGGGAAGTCATCATAACATTTTTATATAAATAAAAGATTCTTAAACTTTTTTGTAAAAATTTCAACAAAATTTTCTTTGTAAATAGAACCTCTCAAAGTTTCTACAATAGCAATGTACAGTCCAAATCAAAAATGCGAAGCTCTGCTCCTTTACGACAGACAGACAAATAGATAACAGATCAAAATCTTATATACAATTAACGTGGAGCATCTAATCATAATTTTTAAAGCATAACATACAATTAAATATTAACAACCAAAGGAAGATATCCTCAAAATGTCTTCTCACCATTTCAACAATGAGCCCCCTTAGAGGTCAGCAGGAGATAAATCATCAGTTATACTATCTTAGATCAAAAATAATTTCAGTGAATAACTTTTCAAAAATGAATAATTAAATATGAATAAAAAGAAAGTTTGAAATAATCATGTCAGTTAAAAAAAACAATGCTCTTCCATAAAAATTTAATAAATTTCAGCATAAAAGGATTTTATAGAACTTTAAATAAAGTCTTGAATCACTAAATTATCACATCAAATATTATTATAACTTAATTTCAAAGAAGCAAATAAACAAAATAAATAATTATAAATAGCTTAATAATTAAAACCAATGAAATATAAAATCACCAAAAAATTAAATTCATATTTATAGGGACTTATCAGAACAATTAACAAACGTGAACACGCAGTCCACAAAGGTAAATAACCAAACGCGACTTTAAACCATGAAACAAACATGGGCACACAGTTTACGACGATAACTAACCAGACACAACTGAAACCATGAAACAGACATGAACACATAGTCCACAAGGGTAACTAACCAGAGGCAGCTGAAGCCACGAAATAGATGCAGGTATGAGACCCACGAATAACAAATATAAGAACAAAGTTTACGAAATCAAACTAACTAGTCATTGACCATGACGCGCCAAGGACTAACAGAATTGTCGTTAGCAACCAGTGCTTTGCATATACTTCCTTTTGAAATAATTTCTTTTTTTCAAACAAGCAAGTAAATAATCAATTTTCAAATAATAAATTTTTTTTTCAGCATCAAACTCACATGAACCATTTAAAATAATCAATCTTCTAAATATAAAGATTTATAACTAATATCTCATAACTCTTTTACCAATTTTCATGACTGTACTTATTTAATAAAGGGTTAATAAACCTTGTAAAAACAATTTCATCAATCTTGTACATATGTAAATGGAGTTGTTTAATCAACAAAAGTAATCAATGCTAGATATATATAAATACACACACACACATGATTATGAATTGTTAAAAATAATATTTTGATAAAAAGAAAATTTGTTAATGAATTATTTGGGATGTTATCCACTTACCTGAACTTAAGACAATAACTTTTTTTAAACCAAATACCTCTTTCCAAAATTTTCTACCTATATTTCCAACCTTCCATTTATAGAGAATGATTATCTATTATAATAATGTAGTCAAAAATAATACATTTCTCACATTTATTTGTTACCATAGACTAAAATTCTTCATTCAAACATTTTAACAATTACCTTATGTGTATCAATTTTTAAACCGTTCAATCAAGTCCTTAATCCTTAAGTCTCGTGCCCAACAATTTCAAAGCATCAATATTTAAATTTATCAACCTTCTCTAGTTCAATTCCTCATCAACATTAATTCAAACTCAATAAAACCAAATCTAATCTCATCGCAACAACCCAAAACAATTAGTGGAATTATTTATCAAAATTCATGGTCCTTAAACTTAAATTTCAATTCAACCAGCATATATTAAGAATGCTTGTACTAAAAGCTTGCGTCAAGGGAAACACATTGCTGGCAGGGTAGAGGGCAGGCATCTAACATACCCTGTGCAGGTAAGTTTTTGAGTTCTTTGGAAAATCAAAATTAATGATAACATAGACAAGACAGCTTGAATGTCTATTCCTCTAGTAAAAAGATCTGTCATTGTTTCCAAACAAGGAAAATAGGAGCATAAAAATATTGGGACTATATATAACAGACACCATCCACAGGACCGATGAAGCATGAACTAATTCAAGAGATTCATTGAAACAAAAAATCATACAAAGGAAACCATTACAAACATCTAAGGGGGAAAAATTGATCCAAACTACTCTCCAATTTGCGCATCAAGCAAGAACAATGGGGGAGAATCATTTTCTTTTCTCTGTTTTTTTTTCAGTAACCCATTCAATAACCACAATCACATAGATCCGAAACAAGGGAGAGAAAAGGATGAAGGTTAAGCTCATCAAAGAGCAAAAAAGGAATCAAAAGAAAGAATCAAGCTCTTCCACTCACCCACGATAGTAACGATGCAGAGCAGTGAAAGGAAGGAGGAAAGCACACGATGCCGAAACAGGGGAGGATGAAGAAATCACGAGCTTACAGAACCCATAGAAGAGGTGGACGGCACAGCAATGCACGATGCCGACAACAGGCTGTCACAATTGAGGAGGAAGGACGGAGGATAAACGACTGAGCTCTCACTCTCTCCCTTGGTTCTGGAACAATCCGAAATAAGGAAGGACAAGATGACAAGCTTATGCGTGCGTGGCTTTCTATGAAGCTTTCAGCTTTTTTTTTTTTTTTTCCTCCTTAATGTCATTTTGGTAATTTCATGAGGTTGGGCAAAAAAAATATCCACTTGGGCACCAGGAGGATTCAAGCCCAAAATCATATGACAATATTTGACAAGAAAGTTTTCACTAAGCCACTCATACATTTTGTTAAATTTTCTCAAAAATTAATAAAATATATTCAATTATTTTATTATTTACTCTAATTTAATGAATATACTATGGGTTATTTTTTCACTAATTGTTGGCCTTTTTTATAATTATTGATTTACTTGATCAATTAATTATTGATTGTATATTTTAAAAACTCCAAAATTTCAAAGTCATTGCATATGAAATGTATTTATCTTATTAAAAAAATATCTAATTAACTAAATTAAAAAGTGAACGTAACTATAAAGTGTGTAAAGAAGTCACAATGCCACGTGGACAGCAGATAGTCAATGGATCACAAAGATTATGCTGGATCAATGGAATCGAATTATCTACAGACTATTGGCCCAAAAAAAAAAATGAATTATCTGGAGACTCAAGTTGGAGGTGCCCGAATCGATTTTTACTTTCATCTTGGTTGAGAGAAAAAGATTGAGAAAAAAGAAAGAAAAACAGCAAAAGGCTAGTATTTACTTTTCCTCTTGGCAGAGGAGGAGGAAGACGGAGAAACATGAAGGGTTCTCAGAATTTACGGTCTTTCTTTTTTTTTAGCTACAGTTAACCCACCCCTACAAGAGATATAATTTTCCATATAAATTATAAACTTCTTCAAATTGTACTAATATTCCTTTTAATATTAAAATTCAATTAAAATATATAAAAATTTACTTCAATTGTACAAAATTTAATGAATAAATAATGGATAAAAGTATTTTTTAAAAAGTATCTAACATCTTAAATTATTGGTCAAATTATACCCTTAAAAGTAATTAACATCTTTGCCTTTATCATTAAAATCTTAATCTATCAACATTGAAGTTTCAGTTAACATTTTCTAACCGTTAACATTGAGAATTTGACAAAGGCAAAAATGGTTTATTTTAATTATTTTAATTGTAAAATTATTTCAATCAATAGTTTAAAATGTTGCATGCTCCTCAAAAAATATTTCAAATATAAAAATGAACCATTACCCATAAATAATGCATGAGCAATGGATTTAATGGAAATAAATAAGTATGGGGACCGACTTGAAAGCTTCAAAAGTATATAGGGACTTTTTACATTAAGATGTAAATGTAAGGATAAAAAGAATATCTTTCCCTTAATAGAAAAATATTTTTTAGAAAGGAAATGAAAACATACCTATCCTAAATTCCTTCCTACAACCAAATATGCACTTATAATTCATTTCAATAATCTTTTAAGAAAAATTTTGATTATTAGGACCCTTGTGGCCACATCTATCACAAACATAAATTGTGATTTATGAAACCTCATCTATCATTTTTCCCAACCAAAACTATAAAATCTAAACACTTTGCCCTTTAATGTTGATCCCATACATCTTGGAAGCGTTTTACACTATTTGAGGGAGCACCATAACAACACAATCACAAATACTCAACATATATTTCTTCTACTCCTCGTGATTCTAGCAACAAAACCATCATTGAAATAGAACAAACACAAAATGATAAACAAGGGTTATTAACAAAGAGCAAATAAATCAACTGCTTGAAAATGGCCACACTTATGTCCAACAAGAAACCTTAGATTTTGTTGAATGCAACAATGTCACAACTTTGAACATACTCACTGCATGGCTCAACTGTGAGATGTTCCTTAATAAGGGAATCCACAGAGACAAGGTCGTCATCTTCTTAATACCGTAACCAACCGGAACCAGTTTGGCTGCAAATTTGAAACAAAGCATTTGTTCATATCATACATTTCTTTTTAAATGGATCATAACAATGAATAAAGTAAATGAGATGAAATATTCAACATACATGCTCCCCACAGAAGCTCAGGCATCTCAATGGAACGAACAGCCTCTTCCAGCTTCTTCATGTCTGTCTCGTCGTCCCAAGGCTTCACATCAAGCAAAATAGAGGACTTCCCACCTACAAAATGCAGATAGATAATGATGTTACTCACAGCAATCAGGATAGTAGAAAGAGAAGTTTAGTTAACTATAAACCTATAATAACTAAAATCTAAGCGTTAAACTAAATGAACCTCCCAAATGGCAGGACCAGTAGGTGGATTAATGAGTAGATGCTTCATGTACAATAAACTGAAGTTGAAAGGAAGCTTACTCTCTTTCTTCTTAGAGGATTCCTTTTTAGTAGCCTCTCTTGCCTTTGCTGCTGCCTTTTCCTCCTCTCTCTCATCACCAAAGAGATCAAGGTCATCGTCATCATTGAGAGGAGCAGGCTGCAAATACAGAGTAATCCAGTTAACAAAAGTAATTTGCATGATTACTAGTACAGTACAATAATTAGTTTATCCAGGACACCACTTGTTTTTGTCAAGTCTATCACAAAATCTCAAAATCCAAGCAACAGCCTAAGTGTTACCACATTATATTACAATTTATCTCATCAAAATCACAATTTTGGCCTTTCCAATTTTCTCATCAAAACAACAGCCCTTCTAGTTTTGCCAATTGAAGCTATGTTGGACCTTTTAGTTTGCTCATTCTCGCCTGTTTGGTGTAATAATGGAAAAGTACTCTCTTTCCATCGTACCAACTACAAAATGAGATGTATAATATTAACAATTACATTCTAGTAAATTAATCCTCATAGCTTCAATCTTCATATTACTTCATCCCATAACTTTTTCCGTTGCATTTTCATGTGTACTTAGTGCTAGGAAGTAGAGCCGAGAATATGGGTTAGGTTATTTGAGTTGGCCCAAAAAATCGGTTATAAGGGTCGAGTTAGGTTGGAAAAAAATTAGCCCAAATAAAAATAAGTTTTTTTTTTGCCTGGATCATATAACCTATGAACTATATGGGTTAACTTTGATAGGTTAGAGTTGGCCCGTTTAACCTATATTATTTTGTAAAAAAAATTTAAAAGGGGAAAAATTTTGTAGATATAAACCATATATGCATGACTTAGTTAGTTAAATCAATTTATATATTTTCTACAAATATTATAAATTAATATTTTGGTATATTTAGAATGAATCATGAAGGAATATTAAATTGGAACTTATTATTTAGGTATATTTTTTTAAAAATTCATAAAAATAAATTAAGAAAATAAATAAATAAGTTAGCAGGTTAGTCCATTTAACTCACCAACCCTCAAGGGTTGGGTTGAGTTAAAATTTTTTCAATCTATATAAAAACAGGTTGAACCAACTCAACCTGCATTTCTCCCAATTCATATGAGTCGGGTTGGCCCATATTCCCACTTCTATTAGGAACTGAAGAAAGCCTAATCAACAGGCCAAACAAAAAGGAGCCTAAATCCAGTTCATTTATGCACATATTGGCATAATCATTAGCATGTTAACATGGTTGATTAAATAAAGGAAATCAGACCCTGAAAAACCCTAACAAGTAACATAGTCAAACAAATGAGTCCATATAAGCATTGCATAGATTGAAGAATGTGAGGATCAAGGACATTATTAGACATATTAAAAATATTATTAGACTAAGAACCATGCTTATTGTGAAGCTGTAGCAATTAAATGACCTTGAGTGTAATATAGCTAACATGTTAACTCATAAGATTAAGCTAATTCATAAACTTTAGATATAATCAATTTATTAGTATTTCTTCATGGGAAAAAAACTTCTCATGATAGTGCAAAAAATTAATTTATACTCCCCCCTGGTTCTATGTACAAGGCGGAAAGGAAATTTTTTTTGTTATATTATTTTGATAAGTCACGACATTTATTTTGTGTAAAATAGTAAATTGGCTTTTAAATTATAAGTTTAAAAGCATTTGAGATCCTAAATTTATTTTTATATAATGTTTCCCTTTAACTTTTAAAAATGTTGCAATTTAACTTCTATCAGTAATAAAAATTAACTTTAATTATTAATTGAGTAGAAAATAAAAAAGGATTTTGGGTCTTTATATGTAATTTTTGGATTTTAATTTTAATTTTTTATCATCTTGCGAATTAATGACGAATGTAAACTTTTATTAATATTTCACATTACTTGAGAGAAAGAGAGAGAGAGGGGCAAGCGAGAAATATAGAAAAGCCAAAATGAATTGTCTTTCAAAGCAAATGTTTAGGGGAGGGGGAATGTTTTTGAGGAAGGAGAGGGAGTGCATTATTGACTTGAACTCTAACTTTCTCCACTCACCTTAATTATTGAGCAATATATGTGAATACCGATGAAAGCGTAATTATTATATTCATACCTCAACACTAATGTCCGAGGATGCTAGCCAAATATAATCACTATATCTTGTAATAGAATTAAATTATAAATTAATGAATACAATTTATTTTGAAACAATTACTATTTTTTTGAAAAATTAATTATCACGAAAAAATTATCAATGATAATAAAGATTAACATTGTAGATAAATAAAACTTAAAAGAAATTTGGAGCACGAAAAAATAGAAGGATTAACAACAAAATGTATTAAAAGTATAAGAATTTACAATTATATTTTTCTTGAAAAAAATTAAAACTTTCAGGCCTTATTTATAATGAAGGTCTGAATTTCAATGGATTGTGATTGGAACTGGTACTAAGGTTAGAGTTGAAATTGAAGCTTTAAAAATATGTTTGGTGTTGAGTAATATTTGAATGGAATACTTACAATAATTTTATTTTATAATCAATCAAAAATTATTAAAAGATTATATTGGACCTTATTATTAAAAGTCTGGTGAACTCCATCTTGAATTTGAACTAGATTTGGAGAACTATATTTCAAAATTTAAAACTTGAATTGAACTCAAAACCAGATCTAGACAAACTCTTGGAACCAAATCTAGACACCATCAACAATCTCAAACCAATGCAATGATAATAGACAAGTAGTCTTAAAATATAGAAAAAAGGATGTTAAGTAATCATCAAAATAGAAATCTTGAACAGCATAAACAATAGTGAAGAAGTCTCAATCAACACCGAAACTTCAATGGCAAAGAAATAGTGGTGGATGGGAGAGGCAAGAACTCTTGTTTTGACTAAGGAGAGTTCTCAATCAATGTAACGTCTACCACAATAATGGAAAAGGAGAACGAGCAAAGTTAAGGAAAGAAAGTAAAAAGCAATTTAGAGGGAGACAGATGACTTGTGACAAAAACAACGACAAGTAATGACTTGCGATGGAGATGAAGAAGTAGATGGAGGGTGATGACTTGCATTAGTAGTGTCACATCTTCTGCTAGCATACTAGGAAGGAAGAGGTTGGAAGGGCACATTCATTTTTAAAAAATTAATCTCATAATTGATTTTGCAAAACCACACTCAAAACATGGTGGTATTTACTAATCCCATATAAGGAGGGATTGCTATTTGGACTGAAATGCCCATTCCTTCATACCAAACATGAAAAGGTGAGATTACCCAATAATAATCCTAATCCCATCTTCCCATTCTTTCATACCAAACAGGGCCCACTTTCCTTCTCGTGCTTTTCATTTAACCAATCTCCACACTAAAAAAGAAAAAAACCTTTTAAGGTTACATGAAAGGTCAAAATAATGATTGTCAATTTTCATTGTGGAATTAGAGAAGACAAACGAGAGCGGTGGAAATAAAATGAGAAATAAAAAGGGTTAAGTTAAAGGAGTTAGGTTTTTTCATGAATGGATAGAAAAAAAATAGTATTTTGGGTAAAAAAGTAAAAAAAAAAACAATTCCTTAAGTAATAACTTGTCTTTGTGAAAAAAAAAGTGAAATTTGCACATGCAAGCACAATCATAATTCTCCCTGAAACAATTTCAATTCCCTTGCATAGGCTCGCTGGTTCACCCAAGCTACTTCATCATAGTGACAAGAATCGAAAAGACCAGTCATCTTCATGCTAAAGAAGAGACTCTAAATTGGATCAAATTTGCCTTAACCAATATAATGCATAAAGGCTAAAATTGAATCGTTTGACTAAGCTATCACAGATTCTAACTAATTATATATATATATATATATATATATGTAATTAGTATATATATATGTATGTATGTATAAACATTATCCTAATTAAGGAACTAATCAAATACAAGTGTTTCAAGTCATTTGCCATATCATTCATTGAAAACATTATTAGACAACTAGACTATACTTATCTGGAACCATTGTTGACCAAATGACAATCCTCCATGACCCCTCCTATTATTCTGGTCATGATTAGAAAAAGAGCTGCTTCCATACTGGTCTAAGCATCATGATTGGTGTTTGAACAGGATGATCAAAATGGCCACCATGTCAATAGTTGGTCTCTTCATCCTTGGTTTTGTTGGTTGTGCTCCTATCTCCTCAAGCTATCACGGTCCCTGTTGCTACTAGCATTCCTTTCTCTACTGAAACTCCCCTGTCCTAGAGGTGGCAACTCAACACGGCAAATAGGATAAGAGTTGTTCTAAACTAACCAAGGAACAATACAGTCAAAGTGATAGATATGGTTATAGGGCATTTTTCTGGCCTCAAACCCTAGTTCGAATCTCTTTTTATAGATTGGATAGTGTGAGTCAGAACGAAGATGTGCTCGTGTGATTTTAATGGTGGGCATTGTATCGATCAAGGAATGTGAGGCTGGAGGTGGACTTCTGTGATCATTCATGGTCATTTGTTGAATGAATGCTTTGAGTCTAAGGGCCATCAATAAACCATTGAAATTAGCAAACCTAATATCCCTTCCAAGACCATGAAACATTAAAGAAGGCCAAAATTGAAAAAAAATCTTTACTCCATTCAGGAAATAGTGCATTATCAAACCTTTCTCTAACATCATAGTTAGGATACGACCTAGACATTCTCTGCCTCATGAAAGCATGCATGGCATCAAAAAGGTAGGGCATTTAATGAAGCTCTTCCATAGCATTAAATGGTTGAGAGGCATACATCTTGAGTTCTTGCACAAAGCCTTCATGACAGTAAGGTCAAATGACTTCCCTACCTTAAAGCGCAATTGGATGTCTGCACTTGTAATACTAATGTGTTTCTCCACTTGACATCCTTGCTTTTCTGCTAGACTTCTAAAGGGTAAATCTGCCTTTAAAAGCCTATGTGCTGCACCAAATTATACTGCCCTACATGTAATAGCAACTAATATTAAAAATTTATAAACTACATATCAATAAAAAGAAAGTCAATTTAGATGATTCAATATGCCAATTGTCTCAGCTGGTTGAATGTTAACTCTTTTTTGACATCCCACTAGATTTTCATCAATGTGACCCACACACACAGATACACACCTAGAGACCAAACCATTATGTTACAAAAACAAACCACAGCTTCCCATCTCTTGATCTGAACCCTAACCATGTTACTCAGTCAAAGACCTTAATAATTACTACTCTCATCATCCTTGAAAGAATGTTTTTGTATCAACAAATGCTTAAATTTCATGTAAATGATGCTAAGATACTACTCCATGCATCCTAACAAAAAATTTTATGTGCATGCATGTGCAAATTATATTGGGTAAAAGTGCATTTTTGCCTTTGAAGTTTTTTTTTTTGGAGAAGCACCTAGTACCTTAACATATTTTTTGGAGTAAATTTGCTCTTAAAGTAATTAAAACAGAGTATTTTTTTTCTTTTCTATCAAAATTCTAACATTGACCGTTAGAAATTTTCACTGTGCCTCAAGCGTTGACTGCTAGAAATTTGACAAAAAAGAGAAAAATGCTTCAGAGCATTTTTATTTTACAAAGACTATTTTCATTTTACAATCGTCATGCTTCAAAGCATTTCAACAAGATGAAATTTTAATTTATATAAATTGCTTAAATTTCATCCAAAAAATGAAATGAACGCCATGAAGGATAGAAAAATTAATTTAAGTAATAACTTTATTTTGTAAAAAAAGAAACAAATTAAAAAAATATTTTGTGGGTACGTGGAATGAAGAAATCTATTTTATAAGTTTTAATAATGTTTATTTAAACCTTTTGAAAATAATCAAAATAAAAAAATATTTTAAGAGGTTATTTTGAATAGTTTTTGAAAAATAATCTGATGTGATGGATTAGAAAAAATGTTTTAAAAAGGCAAGAAAGACAAAGATATCATGAAATTTTAAAATAATTACATAAAAAATTATTTTTATAAGAAATCAAATTGGATATCATAAATTTAAAAATAACTAATTAATAATTACTTTTTTATTATTGTAACTAAAGATAAAATAATGTCTATTTTTTATAAAATCTCTATAAAATAATTTTTTTTATAAACCTCTAAACTATTTAAAAATTAGTTATTTTTTAATCTTAAACCAGTGGCTCATAGAGGTGTTGCATTTATTGAAGGATGGGAGGCTGGAGGACAACATTATTAGACATATTAAAAACATTATTAGACAGAGAACCATGCTTATTATGAAGCTATAGGAATTGATCAAATGACCTTGAGTATCATTTAGCTGGCATGTTAACTCTTAAGATTTAGCTAACTCATAAACATTAGAATAAAATAGCCTTTCTAACCACCCCATATCTACACTAATTCATGTGCAAACGGTATAAAAATAGGTGGGGGTGGCATGTTTGTAAATAAATAGGTGGTTGTGATAATATCTAAATCAGTGCCTTGCATAATTGGTGTACATATTCATGTCTACATTGATTATAATACATGACGAGTGTAGATAATATATTCAATTTTTTTTAAAAAAATAATTTTTAACATATTTATACCGATTATTATTATTTATAATCAATGCAGTTATATATTCTAATATTTAAAAAAAATTATTTCTAACTATTTACACATGTTATTATTAATAACCGGTGTAATTAGGTGGAAAAATCCTAAGCCTCCCTTCCAATATCCTCTCTCAATAATCAGCTTCTCCTCTTGCAACTGCTCAAGTTCTTGGTCTGATTCTCCTTGAGGTACGTCCTCATCATTGCTCCATTTGCCTCCCATTATGGCTCACTCTGATTCTCCCCAAGGTTTGTTCTCATAATCTCATTGTGAAAAATCCAAAAGCATCGTAGAAAGAAGCCTTTCTACTTTTCTACGTTCAAGCTTCACCAAATCGAAATATTATCTCAACTCTTGCTGCAAACCCTAATTCCAACTTCTCTTTGATTTGTATGACATCCTTGCAATGTTCGGAGGTGGAGATGACGAAGCCTTGTCCTACTTGGTCATCATGTCGCCTTCTCTCCTCAAACTAGCCACAACATTAGGATAAGCTCTGATTGATTCACCAATCCTTTCTTAGTATTTCTTTGGGTGTCATCAATTTATTAGTATTTCTTCATGAAAAAAAAAACTTCCCATGATAGTGCAAAAAATTAATTTATAATCCCTCCGGTTCTGTGTACAAGACAAAAAGAGAAGATTTTTTTTATCATATTTATAAGTCATATCATTTATTTTTGTATAAAAGAAAAAATTAGCTCTTAAACTTTAGGTCCAGGAGCATTTGAGATATGAATTTTTTTTTTTGTACAATTTTTTTCAACTTTTAAAAAAGTGTAATCTAGCTTCTGTTATTAATAAAAGTTAACTTTGTTGTTAATTTACTAGAAAATAATAAAAAATGATTGGGTCTTTATATTTTGGGTTCTTTATTTTAATTTTTTGATCAAAATTAATTTTTATTAATAAGAGAAAAGGGTAGGCGAGAAATATAGAAATATAGAATACTCTAGTGCCAAAATGAATTAACTTTCAAAGCGCAAGTTGGAAAAAAAATAATGTTATTGAGGAGGAGGGGGATTCGGTTTTGATGCTCATCTTTAGGTCAAATTTTAACAAATTAAATTTATTTATTAAATAGATAAATTAAATTTGTTAAAATTTGACCTGAATAGTTCAGATGAAAATTTTGGTCTAAATAATTGAGAATTGTACTGAAAAAATCACAAAAAAAATGACCTGAAAAGTTTAAAATAAGGGCTGAGTTTAGCAAAATGATCTAGTTTCTTACTATATAATAGCAAAGCAATTTTTAAATTCCTATTAAAAAGAAGTACTTATATTTAATACTTGATTATATCTTGAATGATATTACTTCTCATAAATGGACAACTGTGCAAAATCAATAAGATAAAAAATATTTTATAAAATATATTTAGTTATAGTTTTAATTTTTTTACTACAATTCTCAATTGTAAATATTGTGGTACAATTCAAAATTATACTCAAGAATTACTCCATGGTTCGTGTAATGAATTATCCCAACCACATTTGCTTCTATAAAAAGCTCATCTTAAAATTTGTCTTATATATTTGAGCGCTAATTTTTTATATTTCACTCTTTTCTTTTCTGAGATATGTTCTTATATATCCAGAAGAAAGATACATATATTATGTGTTAACCTTTTCGTTTTGTGCTTAAATAAATACATCGAACCCACATAAAGCGTCTCCACAAGGCCTAGCTGGATTGAAGAAGATAGCTGTGAGTTGTCAGGGATGGGTTTTGGATATGCAGACACTATATATATTTTTTTTACTCCAAAATCTCTTGTTTTTTGAAAGAAAATGGTTGCTGAGAAAATATACAGGCACTACATATTTTTATCCCCTTTTTTCCCTTTTTCTTGCTATCCAAATAGTGAAAAATATTTGTCCTCTTATTGTTTCTTCTCTCATTCTTCCTTTTCTCTGCGTCCAAACATAAGATTAATGATCAGTTAATTAATTCAGAAAATAATTGAGGGATCAAAGAGATCAAGTTGGAAAATCACGCAAAGAAGTGCATTTTCACAAAGAATAAAGGAGGGAAGTGCATGCGATTGTAACATTCACCAGATGAGGCTAATATTTAACTCCAAAATTGTTACATTTTACAGAATTATACTTTATCCATCTCAAATAATAACATACTTTTGTATAAAATTCTACACACTAATAAGTCTCATTAAATATAGTTAGCATAAACATTTAAAAATATTCTTCATTTAATATATGAAAAAACATATTTACAAGTCCTTATAGTTTCATTCAATTTTAAATTAGGTCCCTATAGTTTATTTTATTTTCATTGAATCCTTATAGTTTAATCAATTAAATTTTTTAATTCCTGAAATTTAAAATCCTTACATTTTTTCTTTTAAAAAACAAAATTAAAAAATTCTATATTTTTATTAAATGATTATTTGACTTTAGAATTAATTACATAATTTTTATAACTCAAACTTTATATAATTAGGTTGTCTTTGAAATATTTTTTATGCAAATAGAATTTTCATAAAAAATTATAATAAAAATATAAACAATGGATTAAATCAAATTTTATTTTTTTTATTTTGGTTAAAAGTATTAACTTAAATTTTTTTGCAAATTCTAAGAGTATTTTTTTTTCTAAAATTTAATAATTCATTACTAATTTTAACTCTTGGGCGTTACTATATATAATAGATAAAATTATAAGGGTTTGATTAAAAGAAAAAAATTACAGAAATGTAATTCAAAATTGAGTGAAAGGACCTGCAAGTATATTTTTTCAAAATTAAATATAAAAAGAGAGGAGATAATATTAAAATAAACATATTTAATAAAATATTGACCTTCATTGATCACATGTACTAGGAGGACAATAAATATGCTAACCTTTTGGCATTTTTTCGCTCTTTCCATGGGCAACAGTGTACATAACCTGTATCACCCACTAGGCAACTTGAGGAAGCAGCTTTGGCACGGTGAAGCTTTAGGTGTTGGTCAGATTTGTATTTGTAATAATAACAGATCCTAGTTGAGTCTTTTTCCTCTATGGATCGAAAAAAATTAAATAAAGGTTTTCAACTTTCATAATAGAATTACAAAAGGTAACTAAGATTGGTGGAAATTATGGGTTCCATTAGGAGTTTTCTTTTTGGTGATACATTCTTTTCTAATTAAAACTATGTAATTTAAAAAAAAACAAGAGACTTTTCATGAAGAAAAATATCTCTTCACAATGCTTGTCATGAAAAGAAATTGATAAAATAAATTATTTTTTATAGAAAAAGAGTAATAATATCTTACATCTTTTTTTGTTTTTCGGATGAAATATAGATATATCAAGTTTAACAATTTTTTTCAATTGAAAATTTCAGTCCTTTCAATTAAAAATGACTGAAGAATGGGAGAAGGAGTAGCGAGGAGTAATCATTATTATCCAAAAAAAAAAGTTCAAAGATTATTTAATTTTATATTACATTCTTCATGCTTCAAAGCATTCAAGAGTACTGAAATTCTTAAGTAATTTATATAAATTTCCTAAATATCATCTAAACAGCCAAGAAAAAAAACACCATGAAGGGATAGAAAAACCAATTTGTTAAGTAATAAATTTGTGAAAAAAGTGAAATATGCATATGCTAGCATAATCATAATTTTCCCTGAAATAATTTAGATTTCATCATAGGCTCACTGCTCATTGATTATAAACTCTAAATTCTCCTGATCAAATTTTCCTCAACCAATACAATGCATAGAGGCTAAATTGAATAGTTTCACAAAGCTAATGCAGATTTTAATTTCATATATATAAATATATATAAACATTATCCTTATCAAGAAGTTAAACAAACACAAGTGTTTCAAGTCATTTGTCATCTCATTCATTGAAAACATTATATTTAATGACAATGGAAACTTATTTACTTTAAAGCACAAATAAGATAAACAAAATATATACATGGAAAAAATTTAAAATTAATATTTTATTTTTTATTTTTATTTATATATATATGCATATAAATACTATTTTTTTACTTTATTATTAAATCACCGGTTTGACAACCAATTTAATCAGTTAAATTATAAAAATTATGACCCGTTCGCATTTTCAATTCATCGTCCAATGTTAAAACATGAGTCCAAGGACATGGCAAGCTTTTTCCTCATAATGTTAAAACTTGGGTCGAACGCTGTGGAAAGGGTTCAAAACCTGCAATGGTTGAACTCTTGAGAATTCTGTTTAATGTAATTAAAAATTTCTTGAGCATTTGCTTATGTTTAAAATTTCATAGAAATATGAATCCAACTCTAAGAGTTTATTGTCAAATTGGCTACGTTGGCTGCTCTCTGAGTGTTCAATGTAATGTTGATGGGCCACTCTATTTTACTGTGATAATCAAGCAACGTTGCAAATGCACATCGCCAATAATCTCGTCTTCCATGAATGCACCAAACACATTGAAATGAATTGTCATTTTGTTCGGAACGTGTTCAATTAATCTGGTGAAATTCAACCATTGAAAATCTCCATCAAATCTCACTTGGCCAACATGTTCACTAAAGCCTCGGGACATGACCGACTGCATGAACTTCTTGGCAAGTTGGGCGTCGTCAATCTTCACGGGCCGATTCGAGGGAGAGTAATGAAGTATATGGGCCACAGCCATGCACGTGGGCTTCAGTTATGAGCTATCGTTCTTCAGCGATATTGGACGTAGTCATGCATGATATTATATTGTTTGTTAGTTTAGATAGTATCTGTATCATAATATGTCGTGTTTTGTAATGATACGATACGATTGGCTATTATGTCGATAAAAGAATGTGAAGCTGGAGGAGGACTTCTGTGATCATTCATGCTTCCAATGTAGGGGCCATCAATGAACCACCAAAATCAAGAGGCCTAGGATCCTCTCCAGTACCATGAAATATCAAAGAAGGACCAGAATTGAAAAAATCTTGACTCCATTCAAGAAATGGTGCAGTATCCAAAGAACTTGTGCTCAACATTTTATACGAGAAATTGGTAGAGAGATGTTTCTTATTCTCATTTTTTATTGTTATGTCGTTTCATCAATTTTTTTCCTCATGAAAGATCTTTGTTTTCCCCCTATTATTATACATATAGTAGATGCATATACTACTTTTGTATATGCTGTGATTGAAGAAAGGAGGAAGTGCATTATTTTTTATGAAGGAGGAAGCGCGTTGCGTCTCATAGTCCATTAACGTGTCAGTCTGGATAGCTT